GAAAGAAATTATTTGAAGATACAAATTTGGCTCTTACTGGGTGTAGAAGACATAGTTGACGTTAAACTATCGAGGACGGAGAGAAAAAAGAACGAAGAAAACAACGCAAGTTGTTGGTGTTTAAACAACTCTAAACATTCGACCTCGTCGCCTGAGAAGTTTGGCGGTATAGCAGTCGAAACATTGCGATCTATGCACGCTTGATTAGTCTCGCTCTTACATCGTGAGACGAATTTACGATTAAACTTTCATTTATCTATAAAAACCACTATAGTAGTATTTTCCACACAAGAGCAAAAAGATGTTGTTGATTAGCAGCTGAACTGTATATTGTGTTAAAGTGCACTTACGGACTTAGTAAAACAATTCACGGTGGTAGTCTTAATATATCAGTTAAAAAGTAGAATTGCTTAATCTACTACGTCTAGTAAGTCTAGTCTAGTAATCTACTACTTTGCGCCTTTAATCTTGCCGCACTAATGCCTGTTTACATGGAAGTGGGGGACCCCAGTTAGGGAGGTAACCCGCCTGTCTATATAACTTCTTATTTTGTCTTGATCGCGTTTATATGATAGGTGGGGTGACCCCGCCTAGACCCTACCTGGTCTGCCAGGTAGGGTAACCCTTTCAGCCGGGGTGACAATTTGCCAAGTATAAATGTCTGGTGGGGTAACTCGCCAAGCCGGGATCGCGTTCATGGCAAAAAGCTCAAAAGCTCAAAAGTGCAACACGTATGTTTTAAAACTTTGTACATTTCCTAGCCGTGTCATGGCAAAAATCACCAGAAACCGCAACTTAGGACGCCTATGCTCCCTAATTGCGAGCGCAACAACAACCTCAAGAAACCTCACCTAAGCACCTCGGGGTTGTAAGATTGTATGTAAACGCGTTTTATTTTTAGACCACGGCTAGGCAGGTTACCTCACCTACCTGAGGTCCCCCACCTCCATGTAAGTAGGCCCTAATGGTTAGCCCTGGTACGGACAGAGTTAAAAGATTTCATGATAGATCAAACGAAACAACTGTTAACGAAATTGTCA